AGAAAGTCTGGCTAGAGTCGGTGACTTTGTTCCCCCTTGCTTGTTCAGATAAAAGACGGTAGCTATATTGTCCGAAGTTATCTGAACAATCTGATGATGAAGGATGTCCTCGAAAGAGCGCAGGGCCTTGAAAACTGCCAGTAGTTCTAGGAAGTTGATATGATTCGTGGATTCTAGATGATTCCAGGTACCCTGGGTAGATAGGCCGGAGCATATCGCTCCCCATCCTAGAAGAGATGCGTCGGTGCCAAGGGTTATCGTAGGAGATCGCACCCTGAAGGGGACTCCTATTGTAAGATTGGTCGGTTCCAACCACCAACACAGAGAGTGAAGCACGGAAGATGGGATCCGAATCAGTCTCAACTGCGGATCTCTTTGAGGATAGTACACCTTGTTGAAAAAGAGTTGCAGTGGATAATCCGAAGCCTGGCATGTGGAACTACAGCAACTGAGGAAGCCATATGCCCCAGGATCCTCTGGATAGACCTCGCCAGGACTGTTCCCTCTCGTCGGATTCGATGGATGTGGCAAGCAAGAGTCTGTTGTCTGTCCTGAGGGAGGAAGGCTTTTTCCAACGTCGAATCCAAGCGGGCTCCAATGAAGGTGAGCGTCTGTGTCGGGAGAAGAGAAGATTTCTCAGTATTAATATGTAGGCCTAGGCTATTGAGCAAGGCACAAGTTGTATGGATGGCCGCAAGGAGTCCTTCTCTGGACTGTGACACCAACAGCCAGTCATCGAGGTACGGATAAATTTGTATGCCCTGGAGGCGTAGGAAGGCACAGACAGGAGCCATGCACTTGGTAAAAACCCTCGGAGCCGTAGCCAGTCCAAAAGGCAAAACTGTAAACTCATAAAGTTGGCTTGCAACCGCAAAATGAAGGAAACGCCTGTAACTTGGGTGAATTGAAATATGGAAGTAGGCGTCCTTCAAGTCCAATGAGGCGAACCAATCCTCTCTCCTTAGCAACGGCAAAATGTTTTGAAGGGTAGTCATACGAAACTTTTTCGGTACAATAAACTTATTTAAGTTCCGTAAGTCCAAAATCGGATGTAGACCACCATCCCACTTAGGGACCGTGAAGTATCTGGAATAGAATCCGTGGAGTCTGTCAGATGGGAATATTTGACGAATCGCTTCTTTACGAAGAAGTTGATGTATTTCGTCAAGCAGTACCGGTGAACATGAAGTGGACCAGATCGGACTCGACGGAGGAACAATGTCAAATTCTATTCGATAGCCGTGTTGAACGATGGACAATATCCACCGATCAGATGTGATGGACTCCCAAATGGGGAGTCGGCTTCGAAGCCGATCCCCAGATAAGAGGGGGGTGGGTATTGGTGGAGCGTGAGGAATGGTTCGCCAGTTGCGTCAACATTGCCTCCAATCGTCGAAACGACGGCGGCCTTGTTGGAAGTGTTGTTGGGGCTGAGGATGGCGGCGCTGTTGTTGCTGGCGGTGTTGTGGCTGCTGCCTCGGTTGATATGATTGTAGGATGGACGATTCCAGGACCACTTACGTCTGGCGTGGGACTGTATCTCCATCCTGCGTGTTGTCAGCCTCGATTCATGCAGGTTTTTGAGCTTGTGGTCGGTGCGAGAATGGAAAAGCCCGGATCCACTGAAAAGCATTTCCTCTATCTGGCGCTTGGTTTCTTCCGGAAAATTGCAATTCCAAAGCCATGCATGCCTTCGGAGAGAAATGGCACTGACCAAGGCTCGTGAGTCAGTATCCACGTGGTGCCTCACCGTGGATAACTGCTGCACCGCGACCTGCATGGCTTCCTTAATCAGGACCTTCGCGAGGTCACCCTGGTGGTCCGGGAGGGTGGAGGCAACGTTGTGCAGGTGCTGCATAATAAAGTATTGATACCTCACCAACATTGCCTCGTAATTTGATATGCGGAGACCCAGGCCTGAAGCAGCGTAGACTCGCCTAGCCACGGAGTCTATTTTTCGGCCCTCTTTATCCCTCGGTGTCGGGTGCCCTCTCGCCTCTCTGCCCTGCGAGGATTTGACGACCTCAGAGTTCGGTTTGGGATGTCGGAGGAGGAAGGGGATGTCCTCCTCCCGAACCCTGTACATCGACTCATATCTCCTGGATGTCGGCTGAGGATGTGATGGCAGGTCCCAGGGCTGCGTCATCGCCTGCCGCAAGGTGGTTATGAGTGGCAGGACGATGGATGTCGATTGCTCCCCATGGATGACATCATAGAACTTGTCCGTCGTCGGTCCCGGGCTCTGGGCAGCGTCGATGGCCAGGGACTGGACAAGTCTAGACATCAGCTCCGCGAAGGAGACATGGGACTCATCAGGCGACGCAGGACCCTGGGATGTCACAGCGATGTCCGGAGAGGTTGAGTCGACCTCCAAGTCGGCTGAATCGGCACCGTAGTAGGGTGGGGCTGAAGATGACGACTCCACTGGGGAGAAGGAGCGGCTGCTTCCACCCTGTGGGGATCGAGGTGACGCCCGCCTCGGATCCAATGAGCGTGGTTGGTCATGGGATGGAGGAGAGGATCATGCCCTGGGAGCAGGGTAGTACCCTACAGAGAGCAGATCACCCCAAGTATGGTAGTAGGGGCGACGCCAGCTCTCCGGACATTGCTCTATGGAGCGGCTCCTCTGGATCCCCGGTGGGGACAGTCCAACGTCCGCTTCCATTGTGACCGCGGGCATGGGTGTCGGTGACCTCGCCCTAGGAGGGGAGTCCTGCATTTCCCTGTCGGATATTGAACTCCGTAGAGTTGGAAGGGGTGCAGGTGGGAGGTCAACTGCACAGCGGGGGGACCCATGAGGGGTAACCCGCATAGCCTCCTGGAGGACCGGTTCGGACGGAGTTGGTACCGTAAGCGCCACTGGTACCGAGGAGCCCATCGGTTCCGAGTCCCGATGTCGGGGAGGGTCCGGACGGTCCGAATTCCTGGGTTTCTTGGGAGGCTTGGAGACCTTCTCCTTCCTGGCCTTTTTATGGCCTGCCGACTTCTCAGATTCAGCATGCTTCCGCTTTTCGTGCTTCTTTTTAGGTGAAGCAGAGGGAGCCACCGAAGCAGACGCACCTTCATCCGAAGGCCGTGAGGGTGGGGCCACAGAAGCGGAGCCAGGTTTTGGGACGGCAACAAGCGGGTCTGATTGCATCAGAGCCCGATCCCAAAAGAGTCTCCGGAGGCGGTTTTCTCGGTTCTTCCTGGCCTGCTTGGAGAAGGCCAGGCAATGCATGCATTTATCCGTCCTATGCCCCTCTCCCAGGCAGAGGAGGCATAGGTCATGCGGGTCAGTTGGTGCCATTTTTGACCCGCAGTCCGCGCATTTGCGGAAAGCCGCTCGCTGCGCCATCGCAGAAGAAGAAGAGAGGGATAGTGCAGAGGGTAAGTATATATTTTTGTTTTTTTGTTTTTTTTTAGATAGATCGAAAGAAGAAATAACAAGAGAAAAACTACGTGGAACAATGAACTGGGAGCAAGGAGAAGAAAAAACTGGGAAAGAAGGACAATCAAGAGCAAGGTAACAGTCGAAGTGAAAGTCGAAAGTGGAACGAGGCACAGCGAACGGCGGTCGCAAAGACTGAACAAAATGGTGGACGCTCCGCTCTTTATAGGCCACAGGGAGGAGGGGGAGCGGAGCTTCCCGCCAAAAACCGTTAGCTGTCAATCTTCCGGCCACAGGCACTGCGCAGGCGCAGTACCCATATGTGTGATGCACAGAGGCCACGACGAAGAACTTTTGTGTCCAGTAATGACCTCCAGGACTCCCCCGCCCCACCAAAATGCCCAGGAGTATCCGTACTCCTACACCTGTACACACCTACACACCTCCTGCCCTAGCTGGTGTTAAGTCAGCAGGATTTTTGGAAAAGGTGCCACTTCTTAAGATTGTCCCCTAGGCATGCATGAAAGTGAGCTGCAGCTTGCACACATTTGCTCATTAATCTGCCCAATTTAGTTCAGTTAATCTATGCATGCGCCGATGTCTTTAGCACTGGGTCTTGACTCTGCTCTATGCCTGAGCTCACTCTAACAACACCTTTTTATTTTTGGTGCTAAATTATTATTGTTAATTTCATTTCTATACCATCCCACAGCCGAAGCTGTCTGGACAGTTGACACAGTACATAAAAACAAATGATAAAACAACAGTAAAATATCACGAAATCAGGGAAAAATGCTGCCTCACAGTCCGTATTTCTTTCTCTTGCAACAGCACAATCCCAATGTTACTCAGAGGTAATCCGAAGGATGTAGCCAAATTCTGTTCCAAAAATCTGTTCATGGTGCTGTTGTGCAGCCTGACCCAGCAAGGAGATCTGTGTGCAGAATCCAGGCATTCTGCACAAAGATCACTGGCTGGATCAGGAGACACAGGCACAAATCGGGCAGGCATTAGAACTGCATCTGTGCATGGATGCCCACATCCATACAGCACTGTGCTCAAATGCATCTTGGATTGCATTCTGGCACAGCAGGTCATGTGCCAGTATCTTTTTGAAAAACATGACTAGCTCCAGATTGGAGCCATTATTTATTTTTAAGGCCCTACTCTCTTTCATAAAAAATGATCTAGTGCAATTTTTAAAGCATTTCCAGACCAGCTTGCTTGTTCAAAAATATAATAATTCTGCAAATCCTGGATTTTGAATCCCCATGCCCTGTGCTCTTTAAAATAGTATTTATATAGTGCTTCTGAGAATAATCTCAGGAATAATTCCTTTGGGTGAACTCAACTCCTTTAGAGAAGATGACCACATAATGCTTAGCTTTTACACAAAGGCATAAATTAGAATTCCCTTCAAACCCATATGACTTTACCTCCTTTTGTAGTGGTGATGGGAGTGAGGACATGACCTTGGGGGTTCTGCAAGTCCCCCGTAGTGAAAGGTGGTGCGACTTTTGCTAAAGGGTCGTCGTCTCCCTCCTGTTCTGACAAGTCACATCAATTCCAAAGTGCCTCAGCAGACCTTGTGCCTCAGCAAGTTCTAGAAGGATGCAAAAAGTGCTTTCATGATGCAAGGGAGGGTCTCCTTTGAGGGATGATGAAGAGGGGAATTGGGAGGTCCACAAATCAAGATTCATTCACTGTCTCTGGAAAGAAGAGCTCCTGGCACCTGTGGACTGTGTCCTGAGGAGACTGGATGCTGTGTCCCACTGTGCGGGGGTCGTCGTAGATTTCATAATCATTCCCACCCTAAGGAGAAGAAGAGACTTGCTTCAAGTCAGTTACATTTCTTAGAATTAAGAGGAAGGACACCACAGTAAAAGTAAGAAGGTAGAGCACTGACAGAACACACAAGCAGCTATCGTTTCACCCATGTTGGAATTCAGTACTAAAAGTGCTGCCCAAAAGGTAATGATGGAACTGTATCCTGAAAGGCAGGATGTAAATAAGTGTAAGAAAGAGATATTTCTACTTATTTTTTAGTAACAATTTTGAAAGGTAGATACCAAGTCCTTCACAGAATCATAGACTAATAAAACTGGAAGGGGCCAGAAGGCCACTGGGTCCAACCCCCTGCTCAATGAGGACTCCCAGTTAAACCATCCCTCTCAGATGTCCATCTTCAATGCCTCTAGTGTGGGAGAGCCCACAACCTCACGGGGTAATTGAAAACTGTCAAAGCAAAGAAAAAGATGTAGAGATGCTCTCAGTGCCAAAACTGCGGCTTCAGATAAGGAGTGGGGTCTTCTGATGTGAAGAATTAAAGAACAATTAAAGCTGTGACCCTCAGGGAGTTGTAGTCCAAAATATTCAGAGAGCCATATATTGCCCACTGTTGTCCTCTGAGGAAAAGTTAGAACACCTGAGGGTAAGACATGCTTAGAGAAAAGCTGTGCAATGCAGGGCATGACAGGTGCATGAAATTATACATAGTGAGGAAAAACAAGGACTAGATTATCACCCAGGAAACCTACTGGGGTTGCACAGCCAGTGGTGAGAGGCAATACAAGTTGTAGCTTGAAATGTTTAGAGGGCAAGACGTTGCCCATCCATGGACGAGACCGGTGATGGCGAACCTTTTAGAGGCAGTGCCCAAACTGCAACCCATAACCCACTTATTTATCACAAGGTGCCAACACTACAATAAAACCTGAAAACTGAGGTATTTGTTTGAAAAAAACAGCTCACAGCCAGCCCAAGCAAATCTATATATATCCTTGGCAGCACACTGACTGGCCATACAAAAGCTTGGATGAGTCACGTCTAATGAGTCGGGGCTCGTGATGTCATCGCCTGGCATTGCTGCTCCTTTCAGAGCACATGCATGGCCCATGTGCGCTGTTATCCAATGCTTGACTGCTGGGCCGATGCTGGGGCAACTTGGTTTGCATGCCGGCAGAAAGGGCTCTGCATGTGTGCTGTGGCAGGCATGCCATATGTTCACGACCACTGCCTTAACCCTACCCTGGTGCACACCCCTAACCCTAATATCGGACTAAAGTTCCATTGAAAATAGGATGAATTTGAAAAAGCCTTCCTTGAGTAGCTTTTTCTGCACAGCTCATCATGTCTGCCCATTCTAAACACATTCCAACCATCAAAATCATGCCAGCACACC